CAATGTTTAATTTAGAAAAAGAAAAAAAATCGAGACTTTAATGATTTAAGAACACATTTTATATAAATTATTATAAAAAAATAAAAATTAATATTATTTTTTATTATTTTTAATATTAATTAATAATTTATTAATTTAATTAAAAATAACTTGATTTTTTTTTTATTTCAAGTTTTAAATTTAATTTTTATAAATAAAAAAAAAGTATTAAAATTTTTTTTTTACCTTATGTATTTAAGTAATTTAATTTTAAATGCACTTACAACTCCGGCCTCGTTGGAAGTGCACCTTCCTCTTGACGTCTATGCCAAGAGTTCTAGCTGCCAGTGCTGCAGCATTATTATATCTACCCCTATCCCCCAATTCCCCACTGATCAAAAAAAAAAAAAAGTAATTTAATTTTAAATTGATTAAAATTTAATATAATTTCGACACGGAAAATAATTGATTTTGACTTGTCTACCTAAGTTTTCTCTCCTTCACCTGGAAAATTTTAGGAATCCTTCCCACTCTTTCTCTTCTCTCGTCAGGCTTCGGGAGAATAATCTCGCTCGCTCGCTCTCTCTCTCTCTCTCTGGAAACACCCGAGTTCAGAAGATATTTTATGGATAAAAGATGCAGAAGGGGAATTGCTTCGTCCTTCGAATCGGTGGTTGTTGGATTGGCCGGAGAGAAGCGCAGATTTCAGATGCCGTCTTGCTTCTTTGATTTCAATCGATTGACTCCTTGGTTTCGTTTCTTTATTAGTCTCCCCAAATAACCTTGATTTCATTCATCCCTTCTCTGAATTCCAAGCAAATTCAATCAGGTATACCTTTCTCTTTTCCTTTTGTTTCCTCAATTAAATTTAATTCTGTTATTTCCAGTTCCATATATATATTTTTTATTTTATTTTCGATTACTACAAATTTGATTGTTTATAGATAATAGACCTAATTGCTTATTTATTGGATAATTAGTGTGCTGAAATTAGATTGATTGATTGATTGATTGATTTTTATGTAAACGCTCGTTTGGTAGAGTGATTTGGGTTAGCCAAGGACGAAGCAACCGCTTGGTTCCTAGCTGTTTGGTTTTGTTTATTTGTAAACCACTACGAACTAAGTGGTTGGTAATTTATTTTTTATTTAGCAGTTTGGGACTAGTAGATTGGAAAGCTAGCTAAGCTTTTTTTT